CTCAGCATTTCTCAAGCTAGGGGAACAGAAGAAAAAATTCAAGCCTCGACTTTCATTATTGAAAGTTTCTCTAGGCAAATTATTCAATGATGCAGAAATCATCAAAAGAAGATGGAAGGAATACACAGAGTCACTGTACCAAGAGGAAAAGGTTCATGTTCAACCATTTCAAGAGGCAGCATATGATCAAGAGCCAATGATACTTAGGGAGGAAATACAAGGTGCATTCAAGAAATTGGCAAAGAATAAGGCACCAGGAATTGATGGAATAAAAATTGAAATCTTTCAAGAAAATGAGGCGGCACAGGAGGCACTCACTCATCTCTGCCAAGAAATTTCAAAGACAACTATCTGGCCAACTGATTGGAAGAGATTCATATTTGTGCTCATTCCAAAGAGAGGTAACCCAACGGAATGCAGAAATCATCGGACAATCTCTTTGATATTCCATGTGAGTAAAATTTTGCTAAAGGTAATACAGAAACGGCTACAATCATACATTGACAGAGAACTTCCAGAAGTTCAAGCCGGATTCAGACGAGGTAGTGGAACGAGAGATATCGTTGCTGATGTTCGGTGGAACCTGGCTGAAAGCAGAGAATATCAGAAAGATGTTTACCTATGCTTTATTGACTACGCAAAGGCTTTTGATTGGTTGGATCATGACAAGCTATGGACAACATTGAGAAGTATGAGTATTCCAGAACACTTAATTGTGCTCATGCGGAGTCTGTATTTGGACCAAGAGGCAGTTGTTCAAAGAGAACATGGGAACATTGAATGGTTTAAAATTTAAAAAGGTGTGTGACAAGGTTGTATTCTTTCACCATACTTATTCAACCTGTATGCTGAACAAATAATCCAAGAAGCTGGGTTCTATGAAGAGAAACGTGGCATCAGGATTGGAGGAAGACTCATTAACAACCTGCGATATGCAGACGATACAACCTTGCTTTCTGAAAGTGAAGAGGACTTAAAACATTTACTGATGAAGATCAAAGAGCACAGCCTTCGGTATAGATTACATCTCAATGTCAAGAAAATAAAATCCTCACCACTGGACCAATAAACAACATTCTTATCAATGGAGAAAAGATTGAAGTTGTCAAGGACTTCATTCTTCTTGGATCACCTAGCAACACTCATGGAAGCAGCAGTCAAGAGATCAAAGGACATATTGCATTAGGCAAATCTGCTGCACAAGCCCTTTTTAAAGTGTTGAAGAGCAAAGATGTCAGCTTGAGGACTAAGGTGCACCTGACTCAAACCATAGCATTTTCAATAACCTCATATAAATGCGAAAGCTGGACAGTGAATACGGAAGACCGAGAAGAATTGATGCTTTTGAGTTATGGTGTTGGAGGAGAATATTGAAAGTGCCATGGGCTGCCAAAAGAACCAATAGATCCGTTTTGGAAGAAGTGCAGTCAGAGTGCTCCTTGGAGGCCAAGATGACCAAACTTCGTGTCTCATATTTTGGACATATTGTCAGGAGGGACCAGTCGCTGGAGAAGGATATCATGTTTGGTAAGGTGGAGGGTCAGAGAAAAAGAGGAAGACCCCAAGGAGATGGATTGGCCAAGTGGCAGCATCAATGGTCTCAAGCGTGGCAACAGTAGTGAGGATGTCCCAGGATCAGCCAGTGTTTCATTTTGCTGTGCACAGGGTTGCTATGAGTCTGTATCGACTCAATGGCACCTAACAACAACAACAGGATAAAGCATTGGACCGTAAGGCTGGTTTGAACCTCAGAGTTGGCAGTCCACACTCACTAGCCGCTCCTTGGAAACCCTATACAGGGTTGTTTGTTATGAGTCAGAACTGACTTGATGGCACTTAACAACAACAAGGGGGAAAAAAGAATCAACCAAAAATAGGATAACAATGAAAGACATGAAATATTTAGTAGTAAATTCAATATAAGATGTTTTAGATCTGCATACTTAAAACTGAAAAGTATAGCTGAGGGAAAAAAATTAAATAATTGTTGGTGTTTAATACAGTCATTATTTAGATTGTGGTGATACTTTCACAAGGGTACTCATTTTGTTTTCAAAATTGTACAGTTTAAGTATTTGCAGTTTATTATATGCCGAAGATAATCTAATTAAACTATTAAAAAAAGAATCAGTGATGGCAGTGTGTTATGTAGTGAGAAATACGAGCAAGTAAACAGAGTGAAACTGAAGTCCTTAGAAGAAGAATTAAAAAAAACCTCTAAGAGAAAACAAAAGTAGACAGAAAAAATGATCATGCAAAAGCTTTATACAACTAACAAGCAATCTGGTTTAGTTACTAGGGTATTTTTTTAAATGTGGAAAAAGTGCTCTGGATAATTTGCTTTGAGATTATACAATATGCAACATAAGATTAATAACGTTGTTGTTAAGTGCAGTCACACTGGTTCCCACCCATAGTGACCCTGTATAGGGTTTCTGAGGAAAAGGCTTATTACTAAGATTATTTTTAAAGACATAAAAAGTAATATACAACAGAGCTTCAAAAAAATTCACGTGAAAAATCACATTATCTTTAATTCTATTTTTCCATGAACTTTCTGAAGCCCCCTCATATTTCCATCTTCAATTTTACAGAGAAAATCAGCTGAAAAAAGGCAACAATGAAGCAGACCACAAGAGGAACATTTTTTTTTATGCCGGTTCTTTAAGAAATATCAGCTATAAAGAGAGCTAATCACAATTTCATAACAGATAGCATCAGTTATCAGCTCTGGTATTTGTCTCCTGGACTAGATAAAGTTAGCTCATAAACTAGTCCTGAACATTTTAGGTCCCATTGTGGTGTGGTGCTGTAGGATAAGCAATGGACTGCTAACCACAAGGCCAGACGTTGAAACCCACCAACCACTCCTTAGAAACCCTATGCAGGGTCACTGTGAGCCAGAAGCAACTTGATGCCACCTAACAACAGCGAAAAGCACAAGGCCATGTCAAGCTCAAATGTTATGTAACAGTATCCAGCACAAAGTTCCAAGTATCTTAATTAAACATTTAATGTTTTCTGATGCAACTACATCGTCCTCAGTACTCTACTACTCTTCCTGCTTTATGGTTTAGTAGCTACCCAAGGAATAACCCAGAAAAATAACAAGATAAAGTAAAATCACTGCCAAAACATCCCACCAATAGCAGAGGAGTATAAAATTCACCATCCACTCCTACACCTTTGTCTACATGTGCTTTAAAAACTTTGATTCGTTTACCACTCTAAGCTGCTCCTCATTGTGAGGTTTGCCCAGGACTGCGCAGTGTTTTGTTCTGTTGTACATAGGGTCACTATGAGTTGGTACCAACTCGATGGCAACTAACAACAACAACAAACCTGCTCCTCAGAAACCCTATATAGGGTCACTATGAGTTAGAACTGACTTGATACTACGTAACGATAACAACAAACCTACAGAAAGAATCACCCAGAAAAAGTTCAGGAAGCATAGTCATCTTTGAACTAACACAGCAGGGCACTGACAAGTTGGTAAACAAATGCTTACTGAAATACATTATTATTTAACAAGAAAAGTTAGTTGGTAGTTTGGTATATAGTAATAAACTTAATTAATCCTGCAGCTCTTTTAACAAGCTAATTAGCCATATGTTAGCACATCTGAAAAAAGACAATTCCAACTAAATTAAAAGATTTTTAAGAGACACAAATAAGAACCAGTGCAAAATACATCAAGTCCATTCACTCATGTCGGCTACAGATGAGCTGAGTGAAGTGAGTATTTCTCTCTAATAAATGCATCTATCACTCTCCTTACCAATAGGGGCTTCTGGAGTTAGGCCCATGCTTTGAAGCAATGCTTCAGCTTCTCTTCTTTTTTTTTCAAGATCTGATTCTTCTTGTACAGGAGCAACTACTTCCTTCTTCTGATCAGTCTGAAAAAAAAATCTTAAATTTACTAAGATATAAAACATATTTCTGTTTGCAAAAAAATCTGTGTTTAGAGAATGTGCTGACTGTTTCAAAACAAATTTATTTCATGTAACGTATGAACATTGTAAGCTTGTAGGGGTGAACTTGTTGGGATATATAGATTAATGACAGCATCATTCAACGAAAATCATTCTCAATAGAGTTCTACTAAGTAATTTTCAAACAATATGTACTTAAGTCACCATTTTTGTATGTAATCAAGGAGTTCCCAAAACGTTTCCCTAAAAAGGGAATTGAAAAAGTATGGTATAGTTCTAATTATCTACAGTATGTAATTGCTGTCTGTGATTCAAAGAATGTAGACATCTCTCCCAAATGGTACAGAAACTCAGCTATAAGTATCACAATGCTGTAAAAATTACCTAAGAGTTAGTAAATTTTAAATAGACACTTGATTTGTTATGAAAAAGTATGAGAGTACTTCAAACTTCTGCATGAAGTCTTAATTGTATTTATGGAAACTTATGCAGAGGATATTTGTCAAAAATTCACTTTCAAAAAGATTTTTACTTCTTAAACTACAGGTGCAATTTTTATAATAATAAAAACATGGTTATGTTTGACAAAATTACAATTTACGTTTACATAGCAGAAAACATACTTTATCAAAAATTTTGTCATCTTTTATTTCAGTAATCATTTACTATGTTTTAGCAAAATCTTACAGTTACACTAAACAAACCTCAATACTCTCAAGTTATCCACACATCTAAAATAAAATCTAAGGAGAATTTATATATATACACCAAAATGCTGATTTTCACTAGACAATTATCACTTTAACAATGAGTCATAATATTTTATGATACCATTTTAAAGAAATCACCAGGGGGAAAAAAAAATCAAAATAGCCTAAATAAGCTATATGTTATCGAGTTGACCTTTCATCTGCATGCAACAGTATATTAATTAACTCCCTGTTCAATACTATTAAATTATGTCTATAGATATCTTTATAAACAGTATATTATAGAATCATGCAATAGACCTCCCCCCTTTGAGACTACTTATACCATGGCTATTATAAAAAAATAAAAATCACATTTGTTCTCAGCACTGCTGGGTTTAAAGCTATAGTGTGAATCATATTTGTATCAGTTAGTTTTTAATCAGAAAGATAATTTAAAACTTAAACCCTCTTATAATAATACAACACAGGAGGGTTTGGAAGAAACAAGACAATTCTTCAATATTAGACCTTTATGGCATCATAGCAATGTTGGTGGTGGTGGTATGATTAAGTGCCGTTGAGTTGGTTCCGACTCATAGTGATCCTGTATGAGGTTTCCGAGAAGCAGCTGGTGGGTTTTAACTGCTGACAAACCGTGGTTGGCAGTCCAGTGATTAACCTACAGTGCAACACTAGGAATTCATCACATATATATTTTGCTGTTGATTACTGCCATTGCGTCAGTTCTGACTCATAGCACCATTGTATAGGGTTTTCAAGGGTATAAATCTGTAAGGGAACATAAAGCCTCATCTTTCTCCCTCAGACCAGCTGATAGATTCAAACTGCTGACCTTGTGGGTAGCAGCCCAACTTGGAATCCACTGTGCTACCAGGGCCCCTTGCTAGCAGTTTAGACTAGTAAAATATTCAGATAAACGAGTTCAAAGTCTAAACTAAGTTATGATTTACATACTACAAGCTATTATAATGCAGATGGCCCCCATTTATACAATAAAGTTATTGCTATGAGATTAAATATGTAAATTGAACTTTTACAATCAAATCCTAGAAACAAATCAATCTACATAAGATAATTTTATTCAGTAAAAACTAAATTTTTAAAGAATCATGTTTTAATTTACAAATTTTGCCATTTCCACATATCTGGCATCCTTGAAGAAACATACAACTACAGTGATATACCTACAGTCACAATTGCTGGATTTTTAATTATTCTGTAATTATTACTTATAAATATATATCTTATAAAGGTATAAGAATATAAAATAAAACCAAGCTATTTTATACTAAATTTATTTTAAAAATTCAAACATACTTCCTTTTTTTTCCTTTCTTCTTCTTTTCTCTTCTTTTCCTCTCTGATTTGGGCCAACCGTTGCTTCTTACGCTCCAATTCAGCTTTTAATTCACTTTTGTCCGACATGTTTGGGATCTTAAAGAAAGATGCAGTTGTTTACAATAATCATTATCTTGGTAATAGCAATACACATACAAAAGCAATGCTTCAAAAACTAAAATGTGTCAAGGAGCCATGTATGTTTAAGATGCCTATCTAGAGAGACCATATAAACTCTGCTTTTAAATTAACAGACTGGAAAAAAATTACAAGCAAATGTAGATTTAAGAAATAATACCTAGCCTCAAGCACAGTCTAGAAAATACTAAGCTCTTTAATGTTCACATGCTCAAATTTAGCACAATGCCTCAATGTTTTTTGTTTTTTTGTGTGTGGTGTTTCAGAAACAGAATTTATCCCCAATGCCAATATGCTTCCTCTCCTCTTTAACTTAAAGCTGTGTGTGGGGGTGGGGGTGGGGGTGGGGGAGAATGGAAGGGATAAAAGAGTGGGTGGGAGGGTGCTTTAGTAAGTTTAGTAAAGAGTAACAGGTGCTTTTCCAGTAATGAGATTTTACTTTGGGGTTCATAAAAATTGCATATATGTGATTGAGTTTATTGCAGAGAAAGCAAAAATAGGTTCTAGAAAGAAAACAGAGACACAAATTGCCTCAATAGCCCTGCCACGGATCTGCCTGATTCTTTCGCAGCAAGAAGTTGATCTTGCGAACCATTTCCATGTGGTAGATCCTCTGGCAGGTTTCACAGCTGCCCCCGCTGTTGCTTATGGCAAGGCTTCTCATAATACCACCTTGGCTTAATGTCATCAAAGAGCCCATCCATGGTGAGGATTGGTGTGGTGCTGTGGATTAATGCATCCGATTGCAAAGCCACTTGAACTGCAAGGCTGGTGATTCAAGCTTACCGGCTGCTCCTCGGAAACCATATACAGGGTTGCTATGGGTCGGAATCAACTCGACAGCACTTCACAACAACATGTACCTTCTGGAGTCCTGGTGTGGCACTGTGGGTTAATGTGCCAGACTGCAAAGCTGTCTGAACTGCAAGGTTGGCGGTTCAAGCTCACCAGCTGCTCCTTGGAAACCCTATACAGGGTTGCTATGGGTCAGAACTGACTCGATGGCACTTCATATCAATGCACCTTCTACATTCCCTTCTTGTACCATCACAGTCCTGGCAATGAACTTCAGATGTTTTGCTATGACTTTGGATTTAAAAGTCTTCACTCTGCTGTACCTTCCAAGTCAAGCCCACCGCCTTCCAGGCCCCAGGCCCAGTTTAAATTCCTCAGGATGCACCCAGAGTTCCCAGGACCCGAAGGTGACCCACGACCGGAAGTGGAAACATGCCTTAATGTTTTATTGTGATTTGAGTGGCAATCTACAGACCAAAGGGTTTTCCATTTGACAAGTTTATAAGAGGGGGCTTCAAAAGTTTTATGAAAAAATTCCATTATCTTTTAATTCCATTCTTCCAGAAACTTTTTGAAGTTCCCTCATATTGGCTGTAATCCTCACAACGCGCGGCACTTTCCCCATTTCCTTGGTGTTTCCATTCCTCCTCCTTTCTTATCCCTTCCTGCCTGCTGAGCTTTATTCTGCTGCAGAAGCTGCTTGCTGTTTTGATCTCATATGGACTGTTCTAAGCAGTGCATTCCTCCTTGATATTACTACTTACCTTTTAGGCCTGTCTACAGTATGAGGCACAGGGGTGGGTTCAGTTACAGGCTTGAAGGGTGACCAAGGGCTGCAGTCTTAAGGGTTCCACCAGTCTCTATCAGACCAGTAAGGATGATGTTTTTTATGAACCACTATGCTTTTTTGAAAGGAGCACTGATGGCGCTGTAATACTGGACTGCTAACCACAAGGTTGGCAGTTCAAATCCACTAGCTACTCTGAGAGAGAGATGTGGTTTTCTGCTCCAGTAAAGACTTACCAACTCAGAAACTCTACACAGAGTCGCTATAAGTTGGAGTCACCTTGATGGCAGTGGGTTTATTACCATCTATGGTGGTACAGTGGTTAAGCGCTCAGCTGCCAAGCAAAAGATCAGTGGTTTGAACCTACCAGTGTCTCTGCAGGAAGAAGATGTGGCAGTCTGCTTCTGTAAAGATTTGCAGTCTCAAAATCCCTATATAGGGTCACTATGAGTTGGAATTGACTTGATGGTTGTGGGGATGGGGTGGGGGTATGTTTCTTAATGATAACATACAAAGGTAAGTAAAAAAGCATTACTATTAGGGTTTCAGTTCATACATATACAAGCTTATTCTGAAGAAAATGTGTTCAAACGTATTTCTGCAATCAGTGGATGACTGTAGAGAAGTTCCACCAAAAATGTATTTGTCTTAGTCTCCTTAGGGTGCCTTCAAAAAAAGGATACTTTTTGTCCCATGGAAGATGATTTTTGAGGGCAAGGTTAACATAAAAAATGCAACTGAAGTCAAGTGAACAGCTTCCTAAATCACTGAAGTTTTGCAACACATTTATAGGAATATGTTCCACATAAAACAACACTTTTACCCAGGTCAAGCATTTTAAAGAAAGCCAGGAAGACCTGAAAGATGAGACAAGAGAGGGAAGATTGTCAACCTTGATGAATGAAGAAACTGGCTGAGTTCCAGAAACCAGTGGAAGAGGACTGTAGAATTACTATATAACTTCTGGAATTGGGACCTCACATGATTAAACATTTTCAATTTTAAGCAAGCATCTTGGCCTCTGTAAGCTTTGGACACAAGGGTGCAAAAAGAGTGGTGTGGAGACCAGCTAGCTCAAAGTCTTAAGCAAAATCAAAGCTAATGAAGATGCTTTTTATTGAATGAATAATAACCCGGGATGAGTCTTGAACTTACCAATACAATATAGAGAGCATGGTTTAACCAAAACACGGCTTCTGAGGGGCTTTGTTGGGCCAGTTACATTCAAGCTCAGAAGGTTGTGATGACTATGTTTTGGGATTCCAAAGAGGTAATCTTGATAAGATTTTCTCTAAGGACACAGGATGATCATGGGTATTAGGATGAAATATTAAGAAAACAAAAAACTGCAACGGCCATAAAAACTGTGCCACGGCATTTCCATTATGACAATGCACCTGCTCATTCTCTGAGGAGAGCAAGAGCTGTCCGATGAGAATTTCCTTGGGAAACCACATCTCATCCACCCTATGTCCCTGACCTTGCCCTTTCAAACTCTTTTTGCTCCCCAAATACAAATAACATTGAAAAGGAGAATGATTTGTCTCCCTCAAGGATGCCAAAACTACTATTTTAATGTGGTGTACAACAAAGAGGGCAGAATTCTTCTGGGAAGAGTTGTTGTTAAGTGCTGGCAAGTGATAGCGACCCTGTATAGAGTTTCTGAGGAGCGGCTGGTAGGTTTGAACCAACACCTAGCGGTAAAAACCAGACATAGTGGTCCAGTGCCATACCAGGACTCCTCTGGGAAGGAGATGAAAATACCACCTTCAGAAGTGTACAGACCTAGATGGAGAATATGATGAGAAATTACATCTTCCCATTTAGATATTTTTGTTTAAAAAAAGGTGGCTATAATTTTGTAACAATACTTTTTAAGTTACTTTTGTCTTAGGGCACTGGATATAAAGGTCAAAAGGACATCAGTTGGCCTTAAGAACTCAAACTATATATGACACTGATCAAAACTATTGTCAGAATTTCACTTTCATTCCTAAACATTTGAGGAAAATTATGAAGACAAACAGGAAATTCCTGTAAACTCAAAAAGTGGCACATAAGTAGTAATATTAACAAGCAAAACATAAAATACACCATTGTTAACTATGAAATCAAACGGCTTTTTCTTTCCCCATATCTTCTTATGGCACTTTTAGTACAATTATTTATGAACATGCCTGAAATGTCCTACAAGACAATAATCTTCCTGAAAGTAGGAACCATGTTTTCAATATTCTTGTTGCCTTCACATCATTCAGTGCCCTAAGCATTAAAAGTGACTGAAAATGACTATATGAATAATGGATAATATATACAGAATTAAAAAACAGAGTTTCAAGAAACAATGACAGACACTACTTCATTCTCAGCTTGGAATAATGAATTCAAAAAATCGTCTGAGGCCTGAGTCTAATAAATAAGAAGCCTAGAAAGTGTTGCCTTCTCCATATTATTGCTCTATTTAGATGCTAATTGATCTCTCTTAACGTCAGTTTTGTAAAACTGAAGTCTTAACAACTTTCACCAGGAAAAACATAACAATTTCTGGGAAAATGCAGTTATAAGGAAATCTCTTAAAACTCACAGATGTTATATTACAATATAGTCAAAGTGTGTGTGTGTGAGAAAGCCCTCTACTAATAAAAACAAGAAATTTCCGTGGCAAAACTCCATCAAGACTGATGTGCAAGTTGATAATTTTCAAATAACTACAAAATGTGCAAAGCTGACACGCAGATTGTTATTTCCGCTGAACCATCCAAAGCAAACAAGAGAACTTGTTCCCGCACCGTCCTTTCTACATCTCTCAACTGCTTCCTATGAACAGCTCTCAGAGAACTTCGATCCGTGACTATATGCTGGCCTCAGAACGTCAGTTTCTGTTCAGCGTCAATGGTAAAATAGATGTGCAAACACTAACTGATAAAGCAACTTTTCTGCAAGAGCCCGACAACAAAACTGCATGGCGGGCTGGCACTCCAGTGCCCAGTGAGGCCTGAACCTCCATGATTGACAAGCCAACTCTTGAACAACTACGGGAGAGGCTCGGGAGGTGCGTGCAGGGTCCTCCGCGTTCCAGGGCTTAGCAACACACACAGGGTAAGGGCACCGCTGTCACAGCTGATAATCACGACTTCGTCGGTGAAACGGAGCAAGACCAAAGGGAGCCACTTTCTCCCCAAGGGGTCAAGCCAAGAGGGCGCGGCCCAGGTTAGGGCGTTCGGGGAAAGTGCCAGCGGCTCCGGACAAGCCTCGAAGCTCCTAGGCCGCCTCCAGAGGGACAAGGAGGGAAGAGAGTGAACTCCCCTCCCCCGGCTGCCCTGAGTCACCGCACCGGCTCTCCCAGCCTCTGCGCTCCGGAATCCGACCGGGCGGCGCTGTCAGAGGAACGGTCAAGCGGCACTTCAAATCCGCACGCGGGACACAGCAGACAGGAGGCCTTGAGAGGAGAAGTCAACCCACCTGTCAAAGTGGCGAGATGGGGAAGCGTCCGCCCGCCTGCAACTTCCCGATGATGTCGTTTGCCTTCACCCTTAATGCCAACTGTCGTCGCCACCAGCTCCGCGGCTTCCCGATGCACACAAAGAGGGATGGGCGGCGGCAGCTACGGCGAGAGCATAGGGACAAATATATTCACCATAATGAGGACGCACCCAAAAAGAAGGGACAGGATCTTGCTGAGGAGAATTTTAGCCCTCCCCTCCCCCATGACTTACCTGGTGTACAGCAGAGCGGATAAATGAGGCAAAGAACAGAGCAGGCTCGGAGACCCAGTGTTTTCCTTTTGGTAAAGCTAGAAGACTACGCCTAATATCCCCGGACTACGTTAGCAAACCACCAGAGTGACGCCGCCCCACGGAACTACAAGCCCCATCGTGAAGGGAAATCTGCGTGTTGAGGACAATGCAGTTTGGGAGTCGCAAGGTATGCCGGGACATGTAGTGTTTATTACCCTTGTAGTTTCCCATCTCGAGGCCTTCGTTTTTCCAAGATTCCACTGAGAAACTGTAAAGTACAGGTACTCTCTTCCCCAGTTCCTCAACTTCCCTAGCCCCGATCTCCGTAAGCTGAGGTGCCTATGAAACTGTTCCTTTTGTGTGTAAAGCGAAAACGGAATTACCATTAATTTATAAGGCAACAATTTAAAGTGTTTCTAGATCCAAAAAATAACCTGTCAAATAACAAAAAATAAAACCAAAGCCACAGCTATTGATCCGATTCCAACTCTATAGTGACCCTGTAAGACACAGTAGAACTGCCCCTGTAGGGTTTCCAGGGCCGTACATACTCAGAAAGCAGATTGTTACAGCTTTCTCTTGCAAAGCCACTGACCTTTTGGTTAGTAACCAAGTGCTATCATCACTGCACCAGATGGCTCCTTGTAAGTACCACATAAATCCTAAAATAACGCTAACATTTACTACTCACAGACACAGTTCAAAGCTGTGGTGGCTTGATGCTGAGATTATGACTATAGCTCCCTGGAGCGTTCCTGCTGCCTCTTTAACAGCTTCCTGTGAAACAAATCCTGAATGTGAATGATTTTCACCTTTTTTTGTTGTTGTTAAAGGAGAATCTTCTTAAAGTTTCTTTTGGTTCATCCAAAGCAGGTACTAATGTAAGTCTTTCATAAAAGTGAAGTGGTGCAGCAAATTTTCTAAAAGTGGGGAATACCTGTACTTTTCTTTACTGTGCTGTATTCAAGTCTGTTAATCGGTGTTTTAAGGAGCTCTGGTGGCATAGTGGTTATAAATCGGGCTGCTAATCTCACGATCAGCAGTTCAAAACTACCAGCACTTCCGAGGGGGAAAGATGAGGCTTTCTGCTGCCATGAAGTTTTACAACTTCACAAACCCTGTGCAGGGGTCGCTATGGGTGGAAACCGATTCAACGGCACTTAACAACAACAACAGTCAGTGTTGTATGTGTTATCTTAAGATCTTTGATAAGTTTTTGGCAAAATTTCAGGAAGTATTATTTTTCAATGGTGAACCTCTACATTATACTACATATTTGTGAAGAAATTTTTTACACAAACTACTTACCAAAAGTTGGCTGTGGAATCCTGTCCCAAGGAGTCTCTGCCCAGAGATCCCACTTCTGAAAGGCCACAGCCATGAAAACCCTGTGGAGCCCAGTTCTCTGATACACATGGGGTCACCATGAGTTGAGATCAACTAGAAGACAACTAACAGCAACAAAAACAACATAGAAGTTTTAGAAGTTAAGACTCGGTGAATGACAACTGGTAAGAGAGTTCACATAACATTTTAGGCAAAATATAAATGAAAATATAATAAATCAGGATAACATAGTTCTCAAATATTTTGTTGTAATGGGATAGCATACAAGTTTTGGAAATAAATCATTTTATATAATTAGACAACTTTGCTGCACAAGACCTTTGTAAAGTGTTGAAGAGCAAAGACGTCAGCTTGAGGATTAAGGTATGCCTGACCCAAGCCATGGTATTTTCAATAACCTCAAATGCATGTGAACTCTGGACAGTGAATAAGGAAGACCGTAGATGAATTGATGCTTTTGAGATATGGTGTTAGAGGAGAATATTGAAAGTGTCATGGGCTACCAAAAGAACCAACAGATCTATGTTGGAAGAAGTACAGCCAGAGTACTCCTTGGAGGCCAGGATGGCCAAACTTCGTCTCTCATTCTTTTGACATATTGTCAGGAGGGACCAGTCACTGAAGAAGGATATCATGTTTGGTATGGTGGAGGGTCAGAGAAAAAGAGGAAGACCCTCAGCAAGATGGATTGGCAAAGTGGCAGCATCAGTGGACTCAAGCGTGGCAACAATTGTGAGGTTGGCCTAGGACCAGGCAGTGTTTCATTCTGTTATACATAGGATCGCTATGAGTCAGTACCAACTCGATGGCGCCTAACAACAACATATAATTAGAATCTAAGTGAAGCAAGACATGAGCTCCACAGTTAATAGATTTTTTTAGTATATAAACAAAGCAAAAATTATTGGTGTATGAATTTTCCAGATGTAATTTAGGTTGATACATATATATATTTTTAAGCTTATTGAAATAATTTATAGCATTATTTGGGATAAATTCAAGCTCCATTCCATAGGACAAAGATGAGGCTTTCTGCTCCTCAGTGGTGGTAGTGTTCCATGAAGTCAGTTCCAACTTGTAGTGACCCTGTATAAGGTTTCTGAGGTTGTAAATCTTTTGTTTTTCTTGTTTTGTTGTTGTTGTCAGGTGCCATCGAGTCAGAACCGACTCATAGCGACCCCATGCACAGCAGAACGAAACAATGTCTGATCCTGGGCCAACCTCACTACCGCTGCCACACTTGACGCCATCAATGATGCCACCTGGCCAATCCATCTCGTTAGGGGTCTTCCTCTTTTTCTCTGACCCTCCACCCTACCCAGCATGACATCCTTCTCCAGCGACTGTTTCCTCCGGACAATATGTCCAAAGTACAAGAGACGAAGCTTAGCCATCCTGGCCTCCAAGGAGCACTCTGGCTACACTTCTTCCAAAACAGATCTATTGGTTCTTTTGGCAGTCCATGGCACTTTCAGTATGGCAGTCCATGGCACCTTCTTGTTTGGTGCCATCGAATTCAGTACCTACTCATAGCGAACTTATGCACAACAGAACGAAACACTGCCTGATCCTGGGCCAACCTCACAATTGTTGCCACGCGTGAGCCCATTGATGCTGCCACTTTGCCAATCCATCTTGCTGGGGGTCTTTCTCTTTTTCTCTGACCTTCCACTTTACCAAACATGATATCCTTCTCCAGCGACTGGTCCCTCCTGACGATATGTCCGAAATCTTTACAGGATTAGAAAGTCTCATCTTTCCCTGGTGGAGTGACTAGTAGACTTGAACTGCTGACCTTGTGGTTAGCAGCTCAGCTTGTAATACACTATGCTACCAGAAGATTTAAAGCCTCAGAAACCCACATAGGGTTGTTATGAGTCAGAACTGACTCCATGGCACAAAGCCAACATCAGAGTCCTGGTGTGGCATAGTAGGATAAGCCAGCCATTCCTTGAAAACCCTATGCAGGTTTGCTATGTGTTGGAACCAACTGGATGCCACTTTAACAACAAAGCTAACAACACAGTAACATCTTTCCTATTTATGTAAAACTGATAGAAAACTTATTGTCTAAGTCTAGGATTAACATTTAAAATTCAAATTCTAAATCCTTGTGCCTATGCCCCATTTTTTTCTTTATCTTGCTCTGCCTGTATATAAAATAAATAATATCTCAGAAATTAATTTCAGAGAAAGAAGACTCTTAAAATTCCTAGACTTTTCCCCACAATCTAAAACTCCAAAGAGCTTTCACCTGTAATACTTTAATTTTTTTTGCTTCTTTCCTAACATTTTGTTTTCATTTATTCTGAAAATGTGTTATTGGTTGCCTACCATATGTTAGGAAAGAAAAGACGCTAGGTGATCTATGTAGGAGTTGAAATGCACATCTCTGGGGGAAAGACAGGATGCTAGCCTCAATGGAGTGGTATGATGGGATTAAGTAGGACAAATGCTAGAAACCCCTAGAAAGCAGAACTGTCAGGACGAAGTGATTCTAGAAGGTTGACTAAGTGTTGATTCTGGCAGGTAAAGTAGAAGTTAACGAAGCAAAGAAGTTGCAGAAAGGTACCTTGGGAAAAGGAAAGAACATGGCCCAATACCGAGGTCTGAGAACATGGGGTACTTACGGGAATGGAAATAATTCAGAATGGATGTAGGTGAAAACACAATTGGGAAATGAAACGCTAAATATAGCCCAGTTGATAATGGGAATCCACTGACAGGTTTTAAGTAGGGGATGCCATTCTACAGTTTGTATATTAGACAGTTGTGTTTAGAAGTCTGGAAAAAGGCTGCTGTATTGTTTTTCTCCCGTCCCCTAGATCCTCTGCCTTTCTTTTCCAAGTTCTATTCCCCTGGGGTTGACACTATCTTGTTTGAGGACTGCCTTCTGGTTGGGCTTGACCAAAGATAGACCTGGACAAGGATATCAGAAGGCAGGTACAGAGTGAAATAGGGGCATTTCCCCCTCATTTGATTCCACATCTCTATAAGTGGCTTTATCCCTCCATGACTGCACTCTTAACAAGTTGTCCCTCCTCTAGCTTGCATTATCTCCCTTTGTGTCTTCAGCTGTAGGAATGGTAATGGACTTCTTGTAGTTAGGTTTTGGGTGCCTTATCGTCTCTTTACTCTGCCCACCATTCTGTAACTGGTCCCTTTGGTAAAATATTTTTATTTTGAGCTTTGTTGTTGTTAATTACTGTTGAGTCAACTCTAACTCAAGGCAACCAGATGTATAATAGAACAAAATGTTAACCTGTGCCATCTTCATGATTGTTTGACTATATGTCTGAGCCCATGGTTGCAGCTTGTGTAGTGTCTTCCAGTGTTGAAGCTTTGTCTTCCATTACTATATGTGATCTATTAGGTTTTAATTGGCTAATTTTTAGAAGTAGGTTCCAAGGCCTTTCTTCCTAATCTGTCCTGGTCTGGAAGCTCTGCTGAAGCCTGCTCAT